CCATTTGATCCACAGGGGTCCGCTGTGCATGGATTAGCTGCAAACAATGAGAGAAAGATAATGCACGGTTTAAAAAGTGTCTTTGAAACGAAGTAAGTATGGATATGCTGTTTTATCGTTAGAAATAATGTGAAGAAATTTATGATTAATGTCAGTGTTGCGCACTTATTTTCAATATTCAATAAATGTCTAGTTTAATATGTGATATAAAAATTAACAGGGCCAGATGACAGTTTTGGTTCGGTGCTGGTCCCGGTTTCGACTCTAGTCCCGCGGAACGGATACACTCATCACTTGGAAGAACACTACTTAAAGCTGCAAATAACATGAACTGTTGAAGTTAACCCGATTTTGAATAGTTGCAGATACCTGATAGCTTTTTTTCGCTAGTGTCCCTGTACTTTAAAAGCAACTATATAATTAAGAACTCCACTATCTCAGGAAACGTTTAGTTGTAGATTGGCCTTAGTATTTGCTTCTCCGCTGTGAATCTAATGTCACCGACCTCCGAGCTCGAAAGAACAACTAATTCGACGTAAACATCGCTAAATCAACTACCGAAGGGAAAACATGCGATAGTATGAACAACGGAGTGTGCGTATAGGTGTGAGTGTGTTGTTATACTTACGAGGGAACGTACCCAGGTGGTTAAGCCTTTGAAAACCCATCTTTTGGCGACACATAGACTTCAATGCTATATGAAAAACCCCAAGAGGATTTGTGTCCTCGTCCCTTCTTTTTAGAGTTATGGGGATATCATTAAACTTTTTACCTATAGCAAGATATCTACCAACAAACCGAATGTCGATATTTTGAACTCAGATTTCGCCAACGGATAGGTCTATAGGTAGGTAGAATGCTCTAAAAATTTCAGCACAAGGGAATATTTCTTTCGCAACATATCAAAATGTCAAAAATCATCCTTATCTTATGAAAGATGCTAGAATTTTTCGTTGTTTTGAGACTTTGATATGTTGCATAGGATATATTCCTTTGTACTGAAATTTTCAGAGCATTCTACGTATCTATAGACGTGTCTGTAGGCGAAATCTCCGCTCGAAATATCAATATTCCATTTGTTGGCAGATATCTTGCTATAATTAAAAAGTTCAGTAATATGCCCATAACACTAAATAGAAGGCACAAGGACACAAATTCTCTTGAGGTGTTTCATATCGCATTGAGGTCTATTTATCGCCAAAATATGGGTTTTAAATGGCTTAAGCACCTGGGCATGTTCCTCGTTAGCCAACACTCACCCATCACGATTATCGTATTCTGCGAATATAAATTTTGGCAATATTACTTTCATTATTGGCGAAGCTCTCCTCACACTAGTGTGCCATTACACGATTAATTTATCACTTAAATCACATTTAATCAAGTTTTACCAAATCCAATCCACGTTCGCACCTATCTTAAGACGATTCAAGATGCCCGCGTGTGTTTTCTATGTCGACTTCAATTTTGTCTACGAAATCTTCGATAAATCTCTTACACTTATGCCAAATCGTCTGTAGCTACCCTTATAGAACGTCACCCTCAAACAGTTCCTAATAGATCCATGTCCACCAATTTCATATTGTTTATTCTTAGTGAAATCTACTCTGTTCAGTTTGATTTCCATACGTCAAACTAACACATTCAGAGACGACTCATTCCACTCAAATCTCTCAAGAAACCGCGACACCAATACGTATTGCCAAAGTAACACGCTTCGACGCTAACGAAATCAAGCTATTCATTCATTCTTATTAAAAGACAAACTACGTTATCGTTTCACAAAAAGGTGCATTCGATTCACTTTTTCCATTGCGTCAATATACAACTTACGTTTACATACGACTCCAGAACAGATGCCATATGGACAATCTCCATCAGTGCCACAAGCTTTCACTAAAAAAAACGTGCGTATTGTGCATCCATCCCACAAAATCAAAACAACTTACCTTCGCAAAAATTGCTCGTACATTTACCACTTGCGCATCCATTGTCAGCAGTACATGGATTAGCTAAAACACAAATGAAAACCAGATTACGACTTTCACATTCTCAATAAACTCACCAACGCATACACCACCAGGCGAACAACCACCAGTAGGACAATCTGCAGCAACGGTACACGCAGTCACTAAAAACACAACGAATACTCAAAATACATCTTGCATCATGAAGAAGCTCACCAGCGCAGAACCCACTAGCACATGTGCCACTTGGACATTCAGTATTATCAGCACATTGATTGGCTAAATACATAGATAAAAAACGATTGAGGTACTCAACTCATCAGCTAACTCACCAACACATACTCCACCATCCGAACAATGACCAGTAGGACAATCTGTTCCAGCCTTGCAGGTTGTCACTAAATAACAGATTAAACATTGTGAATGTACCTCAAACTACGAGAAAGCTCACCAGCACAGAAGTTGTTAGTGCACGAGCCACTTGGACATTGGGTATTATCACTGCAGCTCTGAGCTAAAACGATAAATAACTAGAGCATGAAGGGTCTACCATTTGAGCTAACTCACCAACGCATGCACCGCCAGCTGAGCAAGCACCAGTAGGACAATCCGTCCCAGCCTTGCATGATGTTACTAAAAATCAAGATCAATACTCATAGTACATGTGACATCATGAGAAATACTCACCAGCGCAGAGCTCGTTGGTACATGAGCCACTTGGACATGCAGTATTATCGTTGCAGCTCTGAGCTAAAACGATAAATAACTAGAGCATGAAGGGTCTGCCATTTTGAGTTAACTCACCAACGCATACACCGCCAGCTGAGCAAGCACCAGTAGGACAATCTGTAGGAGCCTTGCAGGTTGTTACTAAAGAACAGAAAAAATATTGTGAATGCATCTCACATCACCGTAAAAGCTCACCAGCGCAGACATTGCTAGTGCACGTGCCACTTGGGCATTCAGTACTGTCAGTACATGGATTAGCTAAATACATAAATAAAAACTAGCTGCAGAGATTGAAGCGATGAACTAACTCACCAATACACACACCGTCAGTCGAGCAGGCACCAGTAGGACAACCTACATCACCGCTACACGCAATCACTAAAGAACACAACAACTACTGTTGAAACATTTGCTGCCTTCAAAAAGCTTACCATCGCAAAACTGGTTGGTGCACGAGCCACTTGGACATTGAGTATTATCAGTACACGACTGAGCTAAAGAGATACATCAATGACATCTAGAGGGTTATATACTCTGAAATAACTCACCAATACACACACCGCCAGTCGAGCAGGCACCAGTAGGACAATCAGTGGCGGCCTTGCAGGTTGTGACTAAAGAAAAAACGATTCCAGTCAATGCATCTGACATCACCCCAAAAGCTCACCAGCACAGAAACTGTTAGTGCACGCGCCGCTTGGACATGCAGTATTATCGTTGCAGCTATGAGCTAAAACGATAAATAAGTAGAACATGAAGGGTTTGTCATTTTGAGCTAACTTACCAATGCATACACCTCCAGCCGAGCAAGCACCAGTAGGACAATCAGTGGCGGCCTTGCAGGTTGTGACTAAAGAAAAAACGATTCCAGTCAATGCATCTGACATCACCCCAAAAGCTCACCAGCACAGAAATTGTTAGTGCACGTGCCACTCGGACATCCAGTATTACCGCTGCAGAACTGAGCTAAAACGATAAACAAATGGAACCTAAAGCCATTTACATTGTGAATTAACTCACGAATGCATGTACCACCCGATGAACAACCACCAGTAGGACAATCTGTCCCAGTCTTGCATGTTGTCACTAAAAAATACAATGAATACTCAAAGTACATCTCACATCACCAAAAAATGCCCACCAGCGCAGAAACCATTAGTACATGTGCCACTTGGGCATCCAGTATCGTCAGCACATGGATTAGCTAAAGAGATGGATGAATAATATCTTCAGAGTTATACATTCTGAAATAACTCACCAACGCATACACCATCAGCCGAACAAGCACCAGTAGGACAATCAAAGACAGCCTTGCAGCTTGTCACTAAATAACACAACGAATAATGCCAATACATCTCACATCATGCAAACACTCACCAGCGCAGAACTCGTTGGTACACTTGCCACCTGAACATCCAGTATTATCAGTACATGGATTAGCTAAAGAGATAGATGGATAATGCGTCACGAGTTTTCGATCATTAAGCAACTCACCGACGCATACACCACCAGGCGAACAAGCGCCAGTAGAACAATCTGTCCCGGCCGTGCACGTGATCACTAAAAAACACAACGAATACTCGTAGCGTACATCTCTCATCATGGAAAAGCTCACCAGCGCAGAACTTATTGGTACACGTGCCACTCGGGCATCCAGTATTGTCAGTGCATGGATTAGCTAAATACATAGATAAAAACTAGATGGAGAGATTCAACCGATGAACTAACTCACCAATGCATACACCACCCGATGAACAACCACCAGTAGGACAATCTGTCCCAGTCTTGCATGTTGTCACTAAAAAGCACAATGAATACTCAAAGTACATCTCATATCATGAAAAAGCTCACCAGCGCAGAACCCGCTAGCACATGTGCCACTTGGACATCCGGTGTTATCAGTGCATGGATTAGCTAAATACATAGATAAAAAAAAGATTGAGGTATTCAACTCATAAGCTAACTCACCAATGCATACACCACCAGGCGAACAAGCACCAGTAGGGCAGTCTGTTGGAAGGCTACACGCGATCACTGAATAACTCAATGAATATTGTCGTTACATTTCACATGTTGAAAAAACTCACCAACGCAAAACCCTGCGGTACACACGCCACTTGAGCAATCGCTGCCAGCCAGACACGCTTCAGCTAAACGAAAACATAAGCAATATTTTAAGGGTTTCATAGTATCAGGTAACTCACCTTGGCATACATTATTAACACAACCACCACTACGACACTCTGTTCCAACACTACATGCTTTTACTAAGCAGAAAGGTGAAAATATTCGGTCTATCTGATATCAGGAAAACACACTTACCATCGCAAAAGGCTTCGGTACACACGCCGCTTGGGCATCCGGTATTATCTGTACAGGGATTAGCTAAAAATGATTGGTTAACTTTATACTCAACGTGTCGCATTTTTCGGTTACTCACCCTGGCATAGACCATTAGAACATCTACCAGTGGGGCAATCTGTTCCAGCAATACATGCTTTTACTAAACGGAATAATGAATATGTTTTTTATACCTTATATATTGAGAAAACTGACCTTGACAAAATTCTCCAGAGCAGACACCACTCGGACAATCGGTGGCAGCGGCACATGGATTTACTAAACAAAAAGATCTATATTACTTTACACATTGCACGCAGTCTATTAACTTACCCTGACATACACCATCAGAACAAGCACCAGTAGGACAGTCCGTTGCAGCTGCACATGCTTTTACTAAACAGAACAAAGAATATTGAACATAGATTTCACGTAAGGAGAAAATCCACCTTGGCATATTCCTCCCATGCAAACTCCACTCGGACAATCTTCTACACCACTACATGCTTTAGCTAAATAGAAACATCAATACTATATTCATAATTCATGTGAAT